GATGACGGCAATCATCTGGGGGGGGAGGGGGTCGATCACGTCACGTTTCGCGCCGGCGGCGTTTGGGAACGCTTAGGAATGACGGAGGACGGGTTAGGTGGCGATATGCACCACAACGCCTGTGTATATCACAGTGCCCGCGTGCACCGCAGCGCCTGTGTACACCACACCGCCGATGTACACCACAGCAGCCGCGTGCAACACGGCGTCAGTTTGTGCCACCGTGCCTGCGGGCACAGCAGCTCCTGCGTACACCACAGCGCCTCCGTACCCCACATCAGCCGTGCGCAACACAGCACCAGTGTACACCACAATGCCTGCGTGCGTTGCAGTGCCTGTGTACGCCACGGCGCCTGTGTGCACCACATCAGCCGTGTGCATTACAGCACCATTGTCTGGTCCGCGCCAGATCCTGGGAACGAGGAACGCAGCTCCATAAATACCGGAAATTCCAGAAATTCATGACCAATAATAGTTTGAACCATGTAGGTCTGGATGTATGTAACTTGATGAACACACGAAATTGTGTGTATCTTAATTGCGATTTCTGACTTTCATGTTTCAATATCATATTTTTGACATATCCAGCGGTTAATTTCATAGAATCCATGCAAGTCGTCAGATTCGTCATCCTCATCGATGCATCCCTATTCCATTTCCTCTCTGGTCGACCTTCCTCTTCGTCTCTTTCTTCTGCGTCCTTCCTTCTCTACCTGTCCTCCTCGTCCTTTGCGATGTTCCCTTTTCGCCCCGGCAGCCGTTCTCAATGTAGCACGCCGCTGCGCGGCGGCCGCCTGCCCTTCCACCCTCCCCCTCCAGCTTTTCTACCTTATCCCCTCTGTTCCCTCCGCTTTCACCCTTTTTTCTTTTCGTTTCTCCCCTCCTCCCCCTTGGTCCGCTCCTCCCCCTTCGTTTCTCTTCCTCCATCCCTTTCCGCTCGCGCCGGCGGGTGCGATGGAGGAGGGGGCGAAGGAGGCCGAGGAGGAGGTCGCGCCGGCGGGTGCGAAGGAGGAGGGGGCGGAGAAGGCCGAGGCCGAGGCGGCCAGCCTCGACGTCCTCAGCGACGTCAGCGTCGACGAGGCCTCCTCCTCCTCCCTCCTCCTTCCTCCTTCCTTCCTTTTCCCTCCTCCTCCCTCCTCCTCCCTCCTCCTCCCTCCTCCTTTTCCCTCTTCCTCCCTCCTCCTCCCTCCTCCTCCCTCCTCCTCCTCCCTCCTCCCTCCTCTTCCCTCCTCCTCCCTCCTCCTTATTCAATGAATGAGGAGGAGTGCAATGATGAGGAGGGGAGGGGGAGGAGAAGGCGGAGGAGGAGGAGGAGGAGGATGAGGAGGCGGAGGGAGGATGAGGGAGGAGGAGGGAGGAGGGAGGATTGAGAAGGAAAGGGGAGGAGGGAGGAAGAGGGAGGAGGGAGGAGGGAGGAGGGAGGAGGGAGGGAGGAAGGAGGAGGGAGGAAGGAGGAGGGAGGAGGGAGGAAGGAGGAGGGAGGGAGGGAGGGAGAGGAGGAGGAGGAGGAGGAGAAGGTGGAGGAGGAGGAGGAAGAGGAGTAGGAGGAGGACGAATGGGGGGGGAGGAAGGGGGGGGGAGCGAGGTGGTTGGGCCCGGATCCCCCCTCTCAAGGGCGGCGGCCTCGACGACCTGAGCGACGTCGAGGCGCCGCCAGTGCCGACGCCAGCGCCGCGCGCCGACGCCAGCGAGAAGCTGGAGGCAGCCTTGCAGGACACGAGGGGAGGAGGAGGACGAAAGGACGAGGAGGATGGGGAGGCCGATGGGGGGAGGAGGAGGGTGATGAGCGGGGTGGGTGGCAGGAGGAGTGGAGGCGAAGGAGGAGGAGGAGGAGGAGGAGGAGGAGGAACGGTGGCGAGGAGGGAAGGCGCAGGCGTGGGGAGGGGACAAGCGGGAGTGACGGGGAGGGGCTGAGGATGACAAGCATGATGGCGTTGGCGATGCTGGTCGTGGGGATTGTGATGGCGATGGCGATGCTAATGGCATGATGCTGCCGATGATGACGATGACGGTATTGTTGATGGCGACGGCGATGGTTACGATGAGAATGTGGGCGAGGAGGAGGAGGAGTGAATCTGTGAGATGAGGGCGCGCAGGGACGAGGGCGACGGAGAAGGGGGAGCTAGGGGGTGGGCGGCGACGCGGCCGAGGAGGAGCGGCTGCTGTGCGAGTTCAGGAAGAGGCGCATCCAAGAGCAGCTCTCGGTGGCGGGCGAGATCCATTATCGGAGCTTCGCTAATCCACCGCCGCTGCAGAATGATGGAGGACGGAGTGGGGGGAGGAAGAGGAGGAAGATAAGATGGGGAGGAGGAGGGGGAGTGTAAGGGTACAAGGGAGAGTAGGGGGAGGATGGGGGAAGGGGGGCAGCCACGGGGGAGAGGAGAGGGATGGCGAGGAGGAGGAGGGCCAAAGGGGGAGTGAGGAAGGAGGGGGGAGCAGGGGCGAGAGGGAAGAGGTCGTCGCCGCCGCCGCCGTCGTCATCGTCGTCGTCTTCATCGTC